TTCTAGATTCTCCTGTCTGGTGTCCTACATTTTCTTCATATCCGATAGTTTACAAGGTCTTACTTTGATTTTTTTTTTTTTTTTTTTGGGGGGGGGGTGACACACAGCACAGCAGTAACACAATCATGACAGCGAAAGATCTTGTTAGTATGTTACTGCTCTTGCGCCTATGAATGGCTGCTTGCACTATATGCTTCCCAGGAAGTTGAGGTTGATGCAGAATACTCTCAGGACAGTCTCAGGTCTGCTGGGGTAATAGTATAGATTATGAAGCGCATAGAGCTTGCTGTTGAGCGGGGATTTGCGCTATACAAATGCTATCTATTATTATTAATAACCCCCCTACCAAAACAACTGCGCACGAGTATGTTTTATTCTTTTATTTCAAATGATGACACTCAGGTGGGACTCGTTACGGTATATATATATATCCACGATTTTTGGTGATGGTAATTTTGCGACAGAGTTCGTCTTTGTTTTTAAGTGAAAATCTGAATACAGAAAATCACGCCACTGTCCTAAACCCCTTTATCAGCGCTCTCGTATGACTTTTTTGAACCGCTGAGGTAAAACACAGATAAAGTGACCCGCCTGCTCCCTCGCCTCGTGACGTCATGCTTGAGCTGGGTCGCTGACCACTCTCTAAAGCTTGGTGCCCATTGCAGATGGGATATGGTTGGGTTGAGTCGATTAATGGCGGCTTCGGTGCATACTACGAATAGACCCCTCCCTTGCAGTGTCGAATTCGACAAGAACACAAAACGTACCGTTCATAACATAGCCTTTTCCTTCCACAACGGCTTCAAGTGCCGACTGACACATATTGCGGTTGTTGTGTTCCGAGGGGTTGTTTTTTCTACTTTTTTTTTTTGGTACCATGTCCTGATTTGAGTTCCGATATTTGTAAGTTACATAAAAATGTGCCAACATTGTACAAATTATTGTTATGATTTTTTAAAAAAAGACAAGAAAAGGGTCTGTGATGATGATGACGATGATAATTTATTTTACTTTTCTTATTGAGATTCTTGAATCCCACAGATGTGGGTATGTCGATATCTTTCTAGATCTATCAGTATTAGCCTTTCCAAATCTACACTGCCTGTTACCACGTTCTGCACGCGTGGTGTACATCCGGTTTTTCGACTCACAACCTCGAGGGTAACGATAAAATTTGGTCCAATTGTGCCATGTCTGCTTTTGCCCCTCCATGAAAGAAAATCCAGCAAACTAAATTCGAATGAATCTGACTAAGTTCAATTACCAGTGACCAGTCTCCAAGCCGCGAGAGATTTGCTCCTGTTGTTTCTTGAGTCACGGTTTATTCTTATTTTTGTTGTTACTGATGTGACTTTTCCAATAAATCAATAATGCTGAATGATGATAATAACGATCTGTTGCTGCTAGTTTATTTGGCAGTCTACCTTGATGTTTCTCTTCTACTTGACGGTGTACTACCGGAATAGTCAGAAAACAATGTTTAAAAAGAATAGGTAGAATTTACATCTGACTTTGCCTTGTGGACGAGGGAAGTCATAGCTTGTTTCACTTTTGTCTGTCCACGTTAAGAACATTCTAGCTCACTAAAACTTTATCCATGCCCACGAAACTTTGCATGACACTTCTGCAAGCCAGCTACCAAATAAAAAAAATCTTAATACAGTTTGTAAAAAAAGTTTCTCTACTTGGTCTCTATATTAAAAACCGTTTTTTAGCTACATACACGTGATCACAAAACTAATGCCTTACAGTAACCTAGATAATGTATTTTATATACGTCCCTGGTACGAAAGAAACAACAAACAAAAAACTTTTTAGGGGTGTGTTTTGTTTTTCCATGCAGTGAATACACCGGTTGAAACTGGTTGATAAAACTGTGTAGAAAAACTGTATCTTTTAATGTGTTCTGTAGGCTTAGCTGCTACTTAGTGTGCTATTTGTTTATCAGTCATGTCTTACTTGGGAGTTTGGGGAGAGCGGTTGGATACTAGTAGAAAGATGAAAAACTGATATTAGAAATATTCAGATACTAGTACAATTTTATATACGACAAGAGAGACAAAAAGCACAGCAACAAGGCTATACCAATGTTCTAGAGTACACATTGGGGACATAGTAGGCCGGTAGGACAACAGTCCAGTGGGGTCGTTTCCAAACTGCCAGTTCGTTGTTGGACACGCACGCCGAAGGAACTGACCGATTTGCTCCCTCTCGTTTCTGTGTTGATGGACAGTGTATAAAGGTTTTGATAAATCCCCCAAACTTTTGGTGACTATAAACTTTCTGAATCTTAATTAAAGACGTATCTGAGACAACCAAACTTGTTAAATACAGGTGAGATACTGTTTAAAGTGATTTTCTGGAGGTAAAGGGGTTAACTTAGAATATGCTGGTGAACTCCTGAAACCTTCAATTCAATTTGATAGCTACATGTGGTCAGACTGGGGTCACAGGCTCACAAAATAGTACAATCCTGTATACCAAGTAACGTTCTTACCTTTGGCACTATGTCACCATCTGGACATAATACGAGAATGGAATAAGAGAAAGCAAGGTTTTAAGTGGCAACAATTTTGAAATGGGTACTCAGCTATTGCCAGCAAAAGATCTTGTCAGTTTGTTAGTGTTTGAGATCTTAATCGGCTGCTTGCACTATTTATTGCTTTTCAGAAAGCCGAGAATGTTTCTGAGTGTTAATTGGTCTGCTGAGGTAATAATACAGTGTAAAGCGCAAAGAATTTCCTTTCAAACGGGGGCATGCGCTATACAAATGCTATTTATTGTTATTATTATTATTATTATTATTATTATTATTATTATTATTGTTATTATTATTATTATTATTATTATTATCATTAATATATAATGGAAACGAAAGGTTCAATACACTGAAAAGGGTAAAAAAAAAACAACAAACCTAGACGGCACCCAAAGTTCTGAAAAGAGTGAGCAAGGTCGTCCTGGTGAGACGTTCGTGACTTTTCCATTAATTAACTCATTGGAAACGCACATTCTGGTCACTCGACATCACTTGACGGTGCGAAGTCTTGGGGCATAACTTCGTTACTCAAAACTTTCGATTTTGTTTTCTTAATCTGAAACTACAAAGGGTGTGAAACAAAGTGCACACTATGAAATATGCAAGTTTGAGTTTCGGATTTGTGAATACGATTTGAAATTTGCAGAAACGTTGCATTTCGTCTGCTGCTGATTGGATGTGTGTGTCGCTTCGCCTAATGAGTTGATAAAACCCCTGTGCATCATGCGGTTTTGAAGCTGCGCATTCTCAAAGGAGGCTAATATTTTCTGTGCGCTATGCTATGGATACATGCGATGTGGGGAGCATTTTTAAACACCGAATCTTTACTGCTATAAGTTATTGATGAAATGAAAAGTTTTCACAATTAAAACCATTGCAAACAAAAAAATATACATTTCTTTCACTGTTACAAAATCAATACACAGTTGAATATATGTTTTTTCATTAAACGTGATGCTTGTTGCAAAAGCTATGGTCCATAATAAGTGTATTTCAAAAGTAGGCTGCATGTACACTGACGAAAGCTGCTAAATTTCAACTCCACTTTCATAGCGTGCTGTAAGTCATATCTTAGCAATGCCAAATCAAAGTCGTTTCGAAAAAAAATAAAAATAATAACCCAGCAAATTACCTTGAGAAATGCGTCTGCAAGGTTACAGTTTTCAGATAAGAATAAGAAAACAAACAAAAATCAAAACAGAACGAAACAAAACAAAAGAAAAGCACACATATGAATTCTAAGGTCGATACCCAAATTATGCCTTCTCAAATTGAGAGCTTTCGGAAAACAAGAACAGGCCAATTTGACTTTGAACAGTTTGAATTCTAAAAGTGAATTGTTGATCTAGAGCCAGTGACCATTTTTCAAGAGTGGCATCATCGATCTATCTAAACAGTTACACATCCTCAGATTTTCGGTGGTTCATCTTGTGGCACGGTGTATCCTAAGTAATAAACACACCTTTATTTTCTATCTCGAACGCCACAAAGTTTGGATCCCGGTTCAGTGGGTTTGTGCCTTAGATAGACGTTGAATCAGGGTCAGATTTAAAAAACACCATGACTTCATTAGTACAAATGTCCAGTTCAGGACCAGCTTTTCAAATAGCATGGCTTTATTAGTACACGTCATGTCCCGTTCTGGTTTTAAAAGTTCTAGAAACTTTTTGTTCTGAAGGGCTTGGGGAGGGGGAGAGAGAGAGAGAGAGAGAGTGTGGGGGGGGGGGGTATAATTTAATTTTTTCAAATGTCATGGTGAGGCTTGATGTGGCGTCAAAATATTGCGTAGTTTCAAAAATAAAACAAAAGGTAATAATTGTGAGACAACGTGGTGGAATCAGGCTCTCGTCAAAATAATCAAAATGAAGAAACTTGCATTTTTCCGAAGGTTTGTGAACTTTTATCAAAATTTAGTTTTTTGGCTCAACACCGTTCATACCCTTTACAGAACTTATTTCTTTTTGGATTTTTCTGAAAAACGTTGATAAAAGGCACAAAAAATGTATATTTTCAGTTACCAAGGATTCATAGACTAAAGAAACAACTAATCTTTGGCGGGCATTTTCTCACTAATTTTACCTCTGAAAACAGGCGAACCCCATCTCCTTCTTTCACAAATATCTCGACTT